ATTTAATTTTTCAATCTCTAATTGCTACAATTTAATTTTTCAATCTCTAATTGCTACAATTTAATTTTTCAATCTCTAATTGCTACAATTTAATTTTTCAATCTCTCAAATGTTTCTCTCAATCAAATAATTTAGGGATACATTAAAGTTGGTCGGTTTAGTACCATCTGAACCTGATATTTCTACATATATTAAAGAAAATTCAAAGATTCGCAAGTTAGTTTTTTCTGCATTCTATCCTTATACTGTTCATTCCGCTGGCAAATTAATTTCTATGTTTTTATATATATACTTATTTATATATGTTTTTATATATATACTTATTTATATATATTTGTATTAAATATGATTTCTTTAGATCAATTTTTGACTCAATTTTAAAACCTGCCGATGTATCTTATGATTATCCATCAATCAAAATTATCAATAAAGACGCTGATATTCTTTTGCAAGGCATTGCAATTCAAACAATAGTTATTGAATCACCTTTACGATCAAAAGAAGTTACAGAACGTATTTCGGCACTTAAGACACGTAAAACAGTAGAGCGTAAAGTTGAAAGTATAGAGTTACCTAATTTACCGGATAATTTTTCAAAAGAAGTTACTGGGTATATATTGTTATTCTAAATGATTAATTATTTATACAATTTATTTTGCTCCTTTTTAATAAATCTGTCAATTTTATATTTTAGTTTTACCGAGGAATATATTAAACTACTTCCACAAGATGAAAATACTTCATGTGATAAAATTCAAAGTCTTTTTGATAGTATACGTTATCAACTTGAATCACAAGTGGAATCGCATGAAGAAAAAGAGGAGGATAATGAAAATGAAATAGATGAATCTATTAATCTTGTTGAAAAATATGTATGCACTGCACTTTATGATCAGTATGTATTAAATTTTATATTAAATTTTATATTAAATTTTATATTAAATTTTTATATTAAATTTTTATATAAATTTTTATATTAAATTTTATGTAAATTTTTATTTAAATTTTTATATTAAATTTATATTAAACTTTATTACGATATTAACTTTTAATAATTATATTTTTTTAAAGCATATTTTGTCCAAAATGGTCTGATGATGGTTCGGCGGATGATACTTTAGGATCAAAAATCGCTGCTTTAAATTTCTATAAGTTAGGACTTTCACATCTCGGTGTTGTTAATCCGCAACAAGAACAGATAGATGTTGCTGTTCAAACGGCGGGAAAAGAGTTACAAAATTTGGATCGAATGAAGGCACCATATGAGAAGCTCGACATCATTTTTAGGTGCCATAGGATTGTGGTTGGTAAGGTTACAAATATTTTTCACCTTTTTACACTTTATTTTCACTTTTAAACTTTTTACACTTTATTTTCACTTTTAAACTTTTTCACTTTATTTTCACTTTTAAACTTTTTACACTTTATTTTCATCTTTTTACACTTTATTTTCACCTTTAACCTTTTTACACTTTATTTTCACTTTTAAACTTTTTACACTTTATTTTCACTTTTAACCTTTTTCACTTTATTTTCACTTTTAAACTTTTTACACTTTATAATAACAATCCTAATTCATTTTCAGACGCTCTTGAGAAAAAATTACAAACATCTCCAAGCAGTTCAAATGAATCTAACGATACAACAAACACTGCTCAAGACGCACCAACAGTGCCGTTACCAAATATCTTACCACAAACATCCGATTCATCTGCACAGATTCCTGCTCCGATACCTTCACCTACATCTCTCACATCTTCAGCACCAAGCTCACCAAAATCGCCAACCTTTCCATCTGAAGAAAGGACTAATAACCCTAATGCGGATGCGATATTTCCCTTATTGATCTATATCGTTGTTAAATCTAATCCTAAACAATTGATTTCAAATTTGAGGTTATTATTAAGAACATGAGAAAATTTCTATCTTGAACATTATGTTTCTACAACAAATTTTTACATTTAATATTTACATTTAATATTTATATTTTTTTTCTAACAGATTCATGCAAAGGTACCGAGCACGGGGTTTGCTGCGTGCAGAAGCTTCTTACTGTCTAACAAATCTTGTACGATTAATTTATTTCAATCAATAATTTCATATGTTTTGTCCATCAAATATAAGATGTATTAAAATATAATTACTTATATTTTAGCTAGCAATTGTTGAATTTTTGGGAAAAATGGATCTTAATGAGTTAGGATTGCCATCTGATAAGTCTTTGAGGTATTTTATCTTGAGATTCATCTGTGTTTTGTAACATTTAAAAGGATTTAATTATAAGAAATTTTATTTACAACATTTCTAGTGAACAAATACCTTCAGTCCCAACCACACCAACAGTCATAGAACAGAGGGTCAGTCGCAGAGTCGGACAGGAAATTGTTGGCGTGGCTGACAGTGGTCTTAAAGTTATCACAGGAGTTGTAGATACTTCATACAAGATGATCGGTCGTGTTTTTGGATATAATGAGAACTCTACTGCGAATGCCACATCAACATCAACAGTAGACATTGAAAAAGAACATAATGTGATACCAAGCACTGCCAATTCCATGACACATTCAAAAGATATCAGTGGTATAAATACTGACCCACCAGCAAAAATTATAGAGAAGGAATTAGCAGAAATTAGCCCTGATAAACATAACTTTGAAAAGAACAAAACTGGTGGAAATTCTCAAATTGATGAGCCTAAATCTCTGTAAATATGATAATTATTATATGTTTATCGTCGATGTTTAATATCGATTCTTAATATCGATTTTTAATAAATTTTTATATAAATGTTGTTAAATTAAATTATAGGACTGAACGTTTACTTCCTTTTAACATACTTCCACGATTCAGTAGTGGTGGCACTTATCCGGAAGAGGTAAAATTCATATTTAAACAAATAAACTTACATGTATTATGACAATTTAAACAAAAAAAATAAACAAAAAAAAATTTATTATTGTAGGAACATAAAGAACATAAAGATGATAAAGAAAATATAAAAGAAATTAAAGTGGAAAGTCAAGAGAATAAAGGAGCAAGTGATCAACATCTTCGTAAGATAGCACCACCTATTAAACGATTTTTAGATTGCCCAGACGATGAGTTTCGTGCAAAGGATGTGCAAGGTCTGCAACTAACCATATGCATTGTTATATATTGTCAATTCTATTATTTTTTTCAAAAACTTACAATTTATATAATTATTAGAACTTTTGTCTGATTATAAACGACTGTCGGCTGCTATTCAGGAACTTGGTCTTTTTTCATCTTGATTATTTCTAATATACATAAATAAATTATTACATATATTTGCAAATTTCGCGTTTTACAATTAAAAATGATCTATTTATTATAATCTTCGTTTCTTTTACATATTTTATTGAGTTATAATTTGTAGCTTTATTATTTACACTAATAAATTTTTTGGTACGTGACGTTTATTTTATTTTGTAGATGTTCGCCAGCAGTAATATATTTTGTATTATTATCTTCTTGGGGGATTAATTTTGAAGGAATACTGTTTAATATAACATCAGAGCCAGCATGAAAAAAGTATGCAATACTGTATCTATCCAAATCACGAGTATCTTTACGAAAAACAACTCGATGTTTAATAGATTTGAATAAACCTTTTGTCCAAAATTGTAAACAATCACCGATATTTATTACCACATGATTTGAAATAACAGGAACGGGAACCCATTCTGTAGAATTTTGAGGTAGAATTTCTAAACCACCAATATCTTTTTGAAAGAGGACCGTTAACGAGCCATAATCTGAATGACTATTATAAAAAAAAAACAGCTTAGAAATTTTTTTGCCAATCATTTTTTTTTGAAGTTATTTGTCAAAATTTTTTAATACCTTCCAGCTCGAATATCTTTTTGATCATTATCAGTCACCGTTGGAGGATAATGAATAACTCGTAAACAATCACCAGATTTTAAATCATAACTATGTTTTGATTCAAACCAATACTTATCACCTTCACTTTGTGGTATTTCTAAAGCGATTGCTAAAACTTGTAATATCTTCAAACATAATCCATGACAATTCTGTTCAAAAAATTCAGCAATTAGTTAAATTAATTAAAAAATTATAGTATAAATAAATAATTTTTAAGTAATTACATACTTTAGAAAAGGATGAAAATAAGGATTTCCTTTCATGAAATAAAGGAGGTAAATCCTGAGCCAAAGGTTCATCATTATCATTAAATTTACTAAAATTAAATGATTCTTTATGATCTCCAATTTTTTGAGTTTCAAGGTCAAGTACTTCTTGACGAATATCTATATATCCATAATAATGTTCATTTATTTTTAATTTTTGTTTTTCTTCTTGAGGTTGGTCAAAATAAAGTTTTGTCTATTATTTTTTTTAAGAAAAAAAATAGAGTAAGAATTATATTTTATTGTCAAGTTATAAATAGTGCTTTGAACGGGTTGACCCAAATGACCCGAAACTGACTCGTTATAATAAATTTAAAATTATAGCAAACTTATCAATAACTGGTCTGCTTCGGGTCAACCCATTCAGGGTTACTATATCGATATAGTTGAATTATCTATAATGATAAAAAAGTTAAATTTACATAATGAAATACTTCTTCAATGTCTTTTTCATCGAATCCATGATTTTTTAAATAAAAAAATCCCAAATTTTCACAAGCAAGTTTAATTTGTTGTGCACAAAGTGATTGATTCGTTTCAAATAATGAAAAATCAATTATTGGAATGTCTTTAGACTGAAGAATATCGATATCGGTCATTTTTTTTGATAAATATAGTATCTGGTTTAACGTTAAACGACACTCGTATATTATATATTTAAGTCGCCAAAATTTTTTCATCAATTTGATTGGTCAATGTTCATGTTATCACCTGAATGAATGTCTTCCTATGTGAAGCCAAAATATTTCTACCTAGCAGCTAGCTCTTCGGGAATTCATAATAAAATTATACAATGTCTTCGTACAAAGCAAAATCGAAAGTCTTAGATGACAGTGAGGATGACGATCCTTCTAATGAGTCATTCGTTGCTTATGGAACTGAACTTCCTGATGTGACCACTTTGGGTGAAAAAGATAAAGGAAAATTTCAACCTGTTTGGAAACAAGAAGTATGTATACCTTTTTCAAACTAAAGATTACTTTTTTTACTCGTCTGCTCTAAAATTATCTTCTTATAGGTTCGCGATGAACAAGGATTGCGACGTTTTCATGGCGCTTTTAAAGGAGGTTGGTCTGCTGGATATTTCAATACTGTTGGATCTAAAGAAGGTAAGAAATAAAGTTTCTCACATGATCCTTTCCAAGACTGTGAACTAACTTGTATATGGTTATTCTTTTTAGGTTGGACTCCTTCTTCTTTTGTGTCTTCTCGCAAAAATAGATCAGAACGACAGGTTTTCAAACCCGAAGATTTTATGGACGAAGAAGACTTGGAGGTATTTGGAAATCAGTTTAATACATTTATTTTTAATCGCTTTTCTTTTTTTAACTTGTTTAATTCATTAGGAATTTGGACCAAATAAACAACTT